GGGCCGGGGGCGCCGGCGCCGCCCCCCCCCCGCCCCCCGCCCCGGGGCGGCTGGGCCCGACGCGCTGAGGGGTTGTTGTCTCTGGTCCGCAGCTGGTGCGCAAGAAGCACGTCCTCTCCCGCCTCCACGAGGCCCTGGCCCGGCGGGCGCTGCCGGTGGTGCAGCTGCTGGCCCCGGACGAGAGGGTCTGCGGTCATTTGATAGGAGCCCTCTTTGGTAAGAGCTCTGCTGCGGCCTAGGGCGGCAGCAGGGAGGGGGCCGTTACCTTTTGTTTTGGGCAGATGAATAAATGTGAAGCTTCGAAACAAAAAAAAAAAAAAAAGAAAGCGAAAGTATATTGAGGTACCCAATGCCATACTTGCACCATTCTGTGTTTAGGTGTGTTATTACTCCCCGCGGAAAACTGCCTGTCGTTTGATTTAGAATAGGTTAATTAATCCCCTTATTCCCCAAGGAGCAGGATTTGTTGCACGTAATTGAGAAAACCCTCCAAAAGAAAGACTAGAAGTCTGGTTTAGAAAGCCGACATGGCGAGCACCCTGCACAGAATAAAGCAACAGACTGGCATGTTCATAAAGCTCTTGCAATTTTCCGGAGTATCTTGACATATCTTTAAAGTCTTTCCGGAGAACAAGGAGTGCCTGGCGTATGATTCTTCCCTGAACGCCCTCAATTCTGGTCTCATGCCTCAGTGCTTTCTCATCTCGCTGAACTGTGGCGTTACATAAAGATTCATACAGAAATGAAAATGTGAGCTTAGAAAGGTGTCGCAGGATTTAATAACAAATGTGCAAAATAGGAATTTGCATAGTGGTGTTTCCACACCATCGCGTTACGTTTCTAGAAATCCTTGCAGCCGTAGGACTGTAATACCCGCTTTATTTCTGGTGGGTTGGCCTCACAGCAGAATGCAGTGTTCAGTGGGATGTCAGAAAGTGCCCTTCCAGTTATAGTCTCTGTGATCTTGAACATCTCTTGCTCGTTTGTGTTTCCACAGCAGTGCTCTGGGAAAGGTCTTTGAAAGGTTGTCTAAAATCTTGACAGAGAAGAAATAATGGTCTAAATGAGGGAACAGTAAGGCAGGAAGAGAAAGGTGGAGGGTACAAATGCAAGTGCCTTCAAAGAGCAGATGTACTGGATTCCTTTAATTCCATGATCTCATTTGCACATCACAGATAATTCTTGTTCTTTGGGGGAAAGTGACTTACAAGCCCTTTCCCCTGCCTTGATGCACTGAATAATTCAAACAGGGTTTTCCCAGTTTATTTCCCAGCACAAACGGTGTTGTGCATGTTTTGGGAGCAACTTTGTTAGAAACAGAGCTTTGTGCAGGATTAGTTCTCTCTGTCGCACACATTTTTGTTGCCCGCTGTCTGTGTACGTAGTCCCATACAGATGTGGAGGGAGTGGTGCTTATGGCCAATTCAGTCCTACACTGTACAACCCTAACACAAAATACCCCAGAAGACAGGGGAGCTGTGCTTGCATTTCAATGCTTTTGTATGTTTTAAAATAATTATTCTCGCTGTCTTTAAGAAGCTTTGCAATTGGATGGTTTGGGGACAGCTTTGGGATTTTACTGTACTTGGTGTAACTGCTAGAGAAGCTGGAATCCCAGTCCAAGCTCGGGGCTACAAACAATGACATGTACATTTTGGATAGACAAAATGTCCTGGAATGGACAAAGGATGATTTGGTGCAAGAGTGTAAGAGGGAACCTCAAAGGTTTGAGCAGTGCTGTGGAGGAAGTATTAATAGTAAATTCAGGAAAATACATTTATTTTTGGAGAGAGAATATTGGGATAAGCACAGGCAGAAGAAAGAGGGTTAAGAGAACAGAGGTGGAGTGCGACATATGAGGGGATGGTGAATTTCAGATAAGCCTGAACCTCATGCAGCTAATATTGCAATACTCACTAATGCTGTATGCTAATCTTCTCCAAAGTGTAAGGAAGATACTGAGGATTGGGCAGATGAGGCAGGAAATAAGTAATTTCTTCACCTGCAATGTCATAACATTGCTTTAGTTGGTCAGGTTTCTGAGGGGTCATGGAGTCTCCGGAGGGGAGGTAATTTGATGGGATACGTTGAAACAAGTGGTTTGGTGTGGCAGAGGTGGGGGTCTGAACCAGACGCCTGATGCTGTTGGTACCTGAAGTTGGAAGGAGCTGGGAGGTAGAGTTTCTCATCTGTTGTGATGTAGTAGAGACAGACAGTGGCTTATTTTAATATATCCAATCTTACGCTCTTGTTGTACAAATGACTTGCGAAGTGGTGCCTTCAGGTTCAATTTATTCCATATGCTTTAAACCCGGTGTTCAAATTTGGCCTCAGGATTTTCAGTGCTGTGGAGGGAGAAGGCTGTTTGTGGTAATTGGTATGAATGGAAGACAGAAAGGACAACTCACAGCTGGGCTCTAACTTCTGTCATTCTGGAGTGTTGTTTCAGATGTATAATATTGGATATATGCAGTGAGGTGTGGCGATGGTAGCAGTTACATATTTACTTACATAGGTGGAGCCATTGACTTGAACTATAAAGTACAGAAAAAATTCTCAAGAGAACCGAATGCCTTCATGTCCTTGTGTCCTGCTTGTGGAAGCACCTTTTGCGATACTCCCTGAGAGTATCCACTTTCCTCTGACAAAGTCAGGCTGGTGTCATGTGAAGGAGGGAAAACAAAACAGTTCTGAAAAAAATTTGCATCTCTTTTTACAAGAAGGCATTACAGCACTGATGATCACAAGCAGGAACGAGTTCCATGACTGATTGTGGTTTATCTTTTAGGGATGTTGCATACCGTGGAAGACAGCAGTGCCCTGGACCTATTCGTAGAAGGTGAGAGGCAGATGCCACATCTCAATTACTGACAGTTTGTGAAGGGAGGCTCTGTCTTGTCTGATAACTATAGTGAGATGCTCAGCTTCTACACAGCTTGAATTGGGAAGAGCATCTATTTTCTATCATCAATGCAACAGTGACGAGCAGACTGTTCCAATATTTGGGGGCAAGGGAGCGTGTGCAGATTTAAATATTTAGCATTTCTCTCACAGGTTCTGTGTGTGCCATGAATTTAGTGTCAGATGGGTAACAGTGGTAAACAATGCCTCATCTTTGGCATCTTTGGACCTGCCTGAAGTCTCAAAGCAAATGAAAATCTTCCCTGTAGGCTTCAGTGAGCTTTGGGATCTACTGCTTTCTCCTCAGGACAGAGAGTATTTGGGATTTACCATGTACAGGCTGCAGATTCCTCTTTATGAGCCGTCCTTCATTTGAAATCTGAAGGAAATGCCTGCAAGGCTGACAAAGGAATCTCTGCAGTCCATTTAACCTTGGGCATCTCTGCTGAGTCTAGTGATATTAGCAATGGAATGATTTCCTCCTGTCCAGCGATGAAAGATGAAAGGAGGTGTGACCAGCTCCTCCTTCCAGTGGAGTTTCAGTTTTCAGGCACTTGCTTGAAATGGTGTTGGAAAAGGTGAGAAGTCTTTCTGTCATGTTACCAGTCTGTTGAGAGATGGATGCTCTCGAACAGAGGAATTTTAACTTTAGTGTTACCTAACTGTTGAAGGTTGTTAGGGATTCTGAGAGTTCAGGGAAAGAAAGGGCCATTAAACCATCTATAAATCACCTGTCTCAAGATATGGCTCTGCTGAGGTGCATAGCTCTTTAGCTAAAGTAGGTCTCCTAGATAAACCTCCAGTATTGCCCTGGATATACCAAGAGATGGTGAACCTAGAAGTCTGGTAATTTTTTTTTTATGATGCTTTCCTAGAATACAAATCAAAAGAGTGTGTTTTTCAAATGAATC